TAGTGTTTCATAGAAATTAAGTACATCCGAATTGTCCGGTTAGTGGAGTAATCGCTCCCATGCATGTTCTCTATCGAGCTGCTAATTTTGACCGTACTTAATTGGAGGGAGTGTAACAACAACAATAACAACAAGCCAGATATTGACCACCACCACTACACTACGACTCCTTCCTTACTTATATATTGCACAGTAACAATAATGCGTAAGATAAGGCCTCGGCTTTAATAGGACGGATGTGCTACTTGCCAAGTCCATTTCACCAAAATCGATCTTTCTCTGTGCTGCTCGAGTGTTGATGGAAAAGTAAAACCAGCACAAATACTAAACCCAGCACCCGTACAGTAGCCGTTAGTGTGCGTACGTTGGTGTACATATATTTGTATACGAACATTGAATATTCCCATCGCTTGCTTATTAATGAATCTAGGAAAAGATTGAGTGAGCGAGTGCTTGGTGTGCATTTGGCAGAATGCAGATTTTATTGGCCACGAATAGTACACGTTTTTGTTGTGAGCAGGAAGGGACGAGGGAGCCGAGATGGCATGAAGCACGCAACGGTCAGGGAACAGAGGTTCGCACTTGGCACAGACCCATTATCACCTTTCTCTTCATGATTTCGCCATTTATTTCCTTCTTAGAATGCTTCTCTCTCTCTGTCGGCGGTGGGCAACTCACCTCTGATTTCGTGACCTTTCACATACATCCTCCACGTCGTTCACAGACCTGAGCCGAGCCGTTGTACCAGCTCCTCAGCCTGTGGCGGCGGAATTGTGGTGCTTGCCTGATTGATTGATCAGAATATTTAATGCAAATTCTTTCATTGTATGTGCAGCCTTTTAATTTTCTTTTCACTGGTGAATATCCGACTGGGAAAATTGGATTCCTATTTTAGTATGATTACACGTCCGGACTATGTATATACCAAAAGGAAACCTTATTGCAGCTAAATATAGACTTATTTGCATAATGCCCATGATAAATATTTCCACCCATCGTGGGGAAGATTACTTATGTAAACTCGAGTGATGTATAATTCAGCAACTTATGCATTCCACTACCTGCACTTGGTCGTTGTTTTTTGTAACATACCACTTATTCACGATGTGCAGCAGACAGGCAGTGCAGCAGTGCATGGGTGGATCAAAAAGTGATACATGACAGATATGAACTCATCATTAATCAAGCGACTCTTGTCCTGCATAAGAGCAATCATAAATATTTTATTGAAGTGGTTGCTGCCAGACGTTGGGGATGTTGTTGTTGGTCTAAGGAAAAAAAGCTTCTGAGCATTATTCTCTTTCCCTTTAATCTGCAATCTTGTCACAATTCATCAATTTCATACTTTGTTTGACATAATCAATGAAGTAATGAGGTACACACACATAAGTAAGTAAATGTTACTCGACTTGGGAAAACTGAATGCATATTGCACACACTGTGTTGGACAAACACAAGCCGAGTCAATTAAACTGGGCCAGCTTTGAGTTTGACACTATCAAATTATTATTTTTTCAATGTTTCTTCTCTATGCATGTCATATTTCTTTTCATTTTGGTGAATAAAATCACGCCCTAAAAATGCAGTAGTCAGAGTATATTTTGTACTGTTCGTGTTAAGTAATCCGCTACAAGCACTATCATCGTGTGATCATTGCTCATTCTTCTTTGAGTCTTTTGAGGATGTAGAATTTGAATATGCAATTCATTACTGTCAATGGATCATCAAGAAGGAGAGAGACTCAAGAAAAACGAAAATGATATACATTTCATGTCTCATGAATTGTGAGAACATTGTAACCTAAACTCTTAAAAGTCTTGTTCCCAGAAAAAGTTACGACACATTTAGTCGCACATAATAAGACTAATAATATTATCTCTGACCATGTAACTGCTATCTTGCTTATTCAGATAGAGGAGGAAGAAAACATCCATGATGCTGCTGGAGACATGATGAATCATACCACTCACTTGTCTTGAGCTCACTTGTCGAACCATCGACTTGTGATGATGATAACTACAAGCATACATCTGCCTACTGCTCAAAAAGTTCATTCCAAATGACATTGATAACAACGAAGTTTGAGTCATTGCATTGATTGTCAAGTTTAAGATCTCAATAAAAATGTCAATAATGTCACGGCTGGTTTTCAAAGCAAGAATGTTAAACTTTTAGAAATCTCTAGTTTAAAAAAATCATCTTATCTTCCCTTCAATTACTGACTTTAATTTAATTTTTTGTCGTCTTTTTAACTATTTCGTGATTCACTTCAAACAAGTCGTATACTTCATACGACTTCTACCTAAAGTGAATTTCAATGGAATCAATGTAGTTTCAAAGTCATCCCATATAAATATCTACCTACCCACATAAATAAATCAATAAAACACAATTGTGAACCAAGATTATTTGCATTTCAATTACTTACTTAAACTCAACAACAAAGCGTCTTCTTCATCAGTGACGACTTCTCTGCTGTCATTATCACAAAGTACGTTTTTTACCTAGAATACTAGGTGACACTATTTGTGAGATTTTTATCACTTACAAAACTTGAATTTGATGTTGACAATTATCTCAAATACTTATCGACAAATAGATACATCAAAGCCTAGTTGACTACTATATTTCTCTAGTCAATAAAAATTATTCTACATCCATCGAAATCCTTGCCAGATCAAAACAATCTGGTTTGCAGGTTGACAAAAACTACACAAATATTGGCAGTATAGGCAGAGTTATTTAAAAAATGCTTCTACTATTCAAATTCCTATGTACCTAGAGATAAGTAAGCTTGTACATTTGAATGGATAGAGAGAAGGCTTCTACTAGAGGAAGAATAAAATGCAGTTTGATGCCGCCAGATAAGATATGTCTGATAGAGGAGAAAGCGAGTAACAATCACGATGCAGATTGCTGCTGCTACTACAATTTGCACCACTGACAATTCCTTACGAAGAGGGCAAACACAATGAGACACGATGTCAAATTTTTCTTCCTCGCCATTATTCCCTGCACTCACGAAACGTATGAGTAGTTGGAGAATATGAGTGCGAACAGAACATTCAGAACTCAACAATCAATCTTTTTTCTAGAGAACCAAACCAGAACAAGCTGACTGTCAATCTGTCACCCTGATGACACTGTCGTGTCTAATGTCGACTGCGTCAATGTCCGTCGAGGAGTCGATCGGCGGCTCTCCGGCAACCACTCCTTTCATTTCAACGAGCTGACACGGTTCTTGGTGCGCTTGCATGTTCTTTGCTACGACGAAATTACTCATCAGAAAAAAAACAGTAGCAACAAAATGTAAGTAGCGTAAAGTCCAATCCTTTGAAATGTGGAGGTGATGCTGATCAAGGGAACTAAGGGATCCCTTAATAAGGAATAATGCTAACTCAATATTATTATTACTTAAAGTCGGTTCCCGATAACAGATAATTGTAAATTGAATGAGTACATGGTTGCACTACTGGATGGTTTGGGGAGGTAAAAGTAACTTGGGCAAAAGTTGGTCTGAAATTAAAAAGGACAGGTACTCATTAGCAATAATAATGAGAAGGAAGGGGTAATAAAGCTGCATAAAATTAGGGAAGGCATACAAACATTGTGTGTGCAGTGGGAGATAACAGGCCCTAAATAAAAACGAGAAAACTGTTGATATCACAAGAAATTAGGCAGATGCAAATCTACATTTATCTCTTGACGAATCTTGACTTGTTTTTAAATTTTAAAATTGAATTTAAGAGAAACAAAGCTGGTAAACCAGTTTAGAGTTGGGGTTTACATAGCATTAAGGAATATTGGCATCAAGATAACATAGATACTGTAAGTTCAGGTTTAAAGGAGGGAGACTGACTACCCTGGACATCAATTATAATCCGGTTGTTTGACGAGATAGATCTACGACCGATACTCCTACATCCTTCATATCAACCACCATTATAAGCTACAAAACTACATGCTAACAACTGTTGCATTTTACACGCTAATTTCTCTGCATGCAGAATAACTGCAGCTCATTAACTCTCATCAGGAATGAGGCTTACGTCAGAGAAATGATGCAAAAATGCGACTTGATTAGAGGTGAAATTCACTGTGGGAGAGTTTAAAGGGTGTCAATTGTCACTCCTTCGCTACCGACTCGTCCTCTCTCCATCACATTTTCCCGTAATTTATCATTGGACATGCAGACTTGAGTTACATAACCAATAAAAGTTGTGATTCTGGAAGATGTAATTATAATTGGATAAATTAACTCAAATAAGATTTGGTGGTCTTGCAAATATTTTCGCTCTTCGCGATTCCGTATTTCAAAATAATGCCAATAATATCACCTAGGGTTAGCTACAAATATGTACGACGGCCCTAATTCCATCATATCAATTACCTCCACTACACAGGTACATATAGCTTCCTACTACCCTTCTTGACGGACAAGGACCATCCATCAGCATCCGTATCCAATACATGTACAGCCCACTTATAAGTACCACCACATCCAGAGAATTCTTCAATCTCCCATCATCCCCATTCCTCTATTTTTTACAAACATTCAATTTACAAGACTTCAAACTAGAAATGCAGCACACAACACAATGCAACACAATGAAAGGACAGAGAAATGTTTCTTCAGAGTACTTCTGCACTTCGTCAAAGGTACCTCGACCAAAGCCAACCTTGTAATAACCAAACCATGCCCGTAACCTGAACCAAAGTGCACTGTGAAGAACGATGGAAGGACGGAAAAAGAAAGAACATTGCATTTGATGAAGGGCGAACGACGACTACGAGAAACCCTTCTCACTCCTCGGCTTAAAATTCCTTTTAACAGAGGAAACACATTGGTAAAGGCAAAAAGTAAGGGGAAACTAGTCAGCATTACGTACAATGCGAAGCAAAGTTACCAGCATCACCACAACTCTCGTCTCATCTCGCATCGTGGTTGGAAAATGTTGTTGGAAAATCCTAACTCACATCAGTTCCCTTCCAGACTTCGAGAAGAACGGTTGTTCACGCCACGTTCTTCGTCGACACATTCGCCCGTATCGCAACTTCTTCTTACTGATCCGCAACACTGGTTGGTTTGTGATGATGAGAGAATTTCCTACGTTCAAGACTTTTTAAGTGATAACATGAGACACATTTTAAGCCAAAGTTCACCTCAACGTTTTTAATCGTGACCATTTAATACAGTGATTGTTGTCATTAAGTGAATCTAATCACCACGATATAAATACCCAGTGCGCGGTTGTGGTATAACAACATTTTTGGACAATAACCAAAATATTATACGAACAATATTTTAGTTCTGCTTGCTCCAAGTTTCAAAAGAATTATTGAAAAACAGGACAATTTTTGAAAAGAGAAAAGTAACAAAAATGTCGTAGTTTAAACCCCTCAGAACAACCTGAGTGGTGGATGGACAAGACTGGAAGTCCGAATTTGAAGGAGAAAAAAAACTTTTTACATTTTAAATCCGAACTGGAATTACTCTGAGTTGTGAATGTGACGGAATTTTTGTTGTCACAGTTCATTCTTTGCCCTGTGAGGAAAGGATATACAGTAAAGTCCCTCAAGAAAACGGAGATACTATGTGTACAAACTCCCTGGGGTTTCCAGCAATGAATGTTGCATGAGAGATGTGATGTGACCAAGATTTCCACATCTCTTGTTTACTCTTGAGTTTTCGTTGGATAAATAAATTGCTGTTTGACTGGACCCTGATAATGTGACACAGGTCTCGGACATATGCACCAAATAAATGGCTCAGCTTCGATTCCATTACAGATTTTGACAACAAGAGTCACCATCTTCTTTGTTGATTGCTCCGCTTCTCATGCACACGAAGAATAACTCAAGCGACAAAAAGATTATATAAAACATTATTTGAAAAATCTGTGTACAAGTTATGCGAGTTTGCATTATTATATTTGTTTCATTTATCGTTAATCGAGTTCAATTCCGTTCAATTCTTCAAATGAAATTACTTCAGAGCAGATTCAACTTAAACAGAGGACATTCAAGTTGAAGGAGAATAACGCGTGGTGGAAATTGACATTGAAATTTATTTATTTGCCAAATTGTATGTTCAAATGCTGCACAAATTGAATTGAAGGATCTCTGGATTCAAATCTGTCTTAAATTTCCTTATAAAAAAGAACGTGTGTGAGGAAAAAGGTCCTGTGCAGTTGTACAAATTGAAGTCACACAGCGTAGTGTATTTCGAGGTAGGGAAAAAGCTGATCTGATTTCCGGAGGATTTGAAAACGAATGGGACAAATTTATGGTTTACGTGGTATACATAAATTGTGTAAACGGGGAAAAGCTCCGAGGACAGAACGACACACACACACATAGCCACAGATTATTATTATTCTACACATAAATACGGACACACGTAGCAATTTTAATTTAAAAATTTATTTGCAAAGAAAAATACATTTTTCCAAGGCAAGTGTTTTGTGAAATTTGTGTTTGTTCAAGTTGAAGTGTTGATTAATTCCTGTCGAGTTGTATTTATATTGCACGTTGCCCCTCCGATAAATCAATATTCGGTTGCCGAGAGCAGCTTTACTTTTACTTGTTCTCGTCAATTAAAGGAATTTGCAGAGAACAGGGCTCTCGATTGTTCTTCTTCTTCTTGTTCGTACTGTATAAATATAAATTTATTCCATTTTTAGTTCTTGTATTTTACCCGACCTTTGTGCGTAATACGTGTTAGTGGAATTGTCCCCAATCAAAGATTTGTGACCAGTGTTCTAGTTGTTGTTGGGGAGTTTACGAAACTAAAAGCGAAAAGTAAAGGGTAGACATTTGACATTGGATTGGACAAGATAATGAAGGTAAGTTTGGTGTATAACCAATTTAAGCTTGTGCTCTTATCGATTAATGCGAGTTTCAGTATCGGCCAACCTGTTCGATTTGCTCACACAAGGATAAATAAATATAATACGCGAAATTATGTACGAGACCATATAATATAATACATAGTGTGCATTCTAGAATATGGCCTATTTTCCAATATCTCATCAGAATGTGCAGCTCATAAACAACTTTTCACACCTCACAACGTCTTTCTTGTAATAAATGATGAAATACGTTGTTGTTATTCCTCTTGTCATGGTTTTTGCTTTGTCGAAACCTAAACTTGTTTAGTATTCGAGAAAGCTTTGCAGTAATAAATTTAAAGGGTGAAAAGTGCGTGTTTTTAAAAGGAGATTTTTCCATGCAGCCAATTTACCGCATGATTTGCCCTGGTCCACAGAGGCGGAATGAATATTGAAGAGCAAAACAATCGAAAAATGTGAAATGTTGAATGCTCATTCAAGTGCAATTATTATTACGTACATGTTGTACCACTAAATACATTACGTCGTTATTTGATATGGGGGAACTAAATATTTGTTTCCATATGAAGCACTTCTTCATGTAATAAATGTGCATGTTTTGAGGGATGGAAGCTCTCATAAAGTGCAGTCTACATGCATATGTACATACCTGATCCAGTGAATCTGGCTTATTTACTTGGTTGGAGAGGAGTTGCTTACAACAAATAATAATAAATGGGAGCTTCTTCTTTGAGACTAGTTCAGTTAACTAACTTAGTAACGGACTGTCAGGTTTATGAATTACATTATGTAAAAGAGATCTCATGGAGGGATTGAAGTCTATGCAGCTCTTTGGCGATGCTCCTTGTTCCACGGAAGGAAGGGACAGAAGGACGGAATAAATTTAATTCCCAACACGCAGGAAGAAGAGGCCTGCTACTCAACAAACCCGATTTCTAGTTAATTTTCTTCGCCCGATGACGCGCTAACCAACTTCTGATTGACAAACTGTTAATACGATTCGACGTCCCACTTTTCAGTTTTGGTTTGATTTTTCATTTCCCAATCTCTGACTAGCTAATAAGCTCGGAGTGCATTTGCATTTTAATTTTCCAAGAGTCAAGTCAAAGTCTCACTTGTGCAGTGTAATCTGTGAAATGTGAACATTAACGAGATTAACAAGGTTTAACTTTATAACCCAAATTCAATCAGTGGAGGGAGGCGTCGTCAACCAAGATTTGCTTATTAGTTGGTTGGTTAGCTTTGTCAAAATCTTCACTTGGTTTGCTAAATTTGATTGGCAGCAGCAACAGTGAATTCTTCCCGTCTTTATCTCTCTCTCTCTCAATTTGATCCCTGGTTCAATTTGTACACATGGAATCGGTTCAAGAAACTAGAGGAAAAAAATATGACAATCTGTTCTGCTGGAAAGTCATGCGAGATTCTTCGTATGCCCATTCAAATCAGAGAAATATTTGAAAGAATGTGTATGAGAGTACTACAACTGACGTGGTGCGGTACATGGTGCGGTGGTGAGTCTCGAAATTCTGTCCTGGTGGTCCATCCATTCCTGCGAAGGCCGACGTGCTATATTGAATTTCATTATGTTGCTACGAATGTAACTTGATGAGGAGTAAGTAAACCACTCACTTCCTCCTCCTCACCAAGAGCAATTAAAGCTCTGTTAGATCATGTGGAGAGAAAAGTGCACTTTTGGCACGATATCCCAACTTTGTCTGTTTTACAGTCCTTTTCTGCGACTCGTCACTTCGTCAAGAGAGTTTTGGAACAGATCTTGTGGTGGCTTAGGTTGTTAGGTGACTAGATCAGTCAGCCCAAAAAGTGATCCAGCAAAATCTTTCTCTTTCTACTTTTCTAGTTGGACAAATCCGCGGAAAAGTTTACTTTATTGTTAGTCTTTCCCCCTTCTGATTTAGCAAATAACTTGGGACTTGGTTCCTTGGTTTGTTAGGGACGACAAGGGAGCTTGACTTTATTTGGGTGACAGCAGTTTCTCACACAAATGTTGGTTTTGCCAAAAAGGATTAGCAACTTTTACACTGATTTTATAAATTATTTGTAACCTGGAAAAATTTTGGGCTTGTGACAATAACAGAAATAACACGAGGAGCACTCTCACATGTTGGTTTTGTCATAAATGATGTGGCACTTGCACTACTGGCCCCATCATCCCGTCCATTTGTCATATATATGTCACTAGATGGGAATTGATGTTACTCAAATAGACAGAGTTTTGGCTGGCTGGATTTGCGATCCTTGGTGGTTGACGTTGGGAAAAGTTTCCAAATTAGATTTTGATTAGACAGTTAATTGAAGTTAGTTACTAGGTTTACTGCTTGTCTACTTTGATTTCTACCAAAAACTAACTAAACCAGGACACACTATTACTTCCACTTACCATTTCCATCCAGCTTCCACCAAAATGTGTATGTTGAACGATGTTGGTTTTCGGTAGGTGGTTGATGTGCTCGCTGACTTGAATCTCTCTCACTCGCCCGGAGAAAGTTTGAGCTGGGTGGTTGGTGGGCACTACATTATACGAGAACTCACTTAATTTGAAAGGTGTGTTTATCTCTCGTTTGAGAATTTGTCATCTATTTGTCTGCTCCTGGAGAGAGGAATTCAAATTGGAATTTGAAGCCCGTCTGCTGCGTTACATCATTAACGACGGTGCGGTGTGGTGGCTGATAATTGTTTGGTCATGGTGGTCTTCGTCGTAGTAGTGGCTTCATTTCGTCAGAATATTAGAGTTCGATTAAAACTATTCCTGGACCCATTGAGACGGAAAATTTGCAATGTTAATGTAAATACGTTTCTCTCCATGCCCTCAGCTAAAATTGTACGCAAAAGCTTCCCAGTTTGCTAGACATGATTTTGCGTTTTATCAAATGAAATGTATATTTAGCTTGTTTATATTTCTGCTCTTTGTATTGATTGCATATTCTTAAAATTTCTCATCACTTGGTTTTTTCTCTACGAGGAGTCGGTGCCTCTTTCTTCATCAAGTTTAATTATACTTTTCTCTCTCTGCTTTTTTACAACTCTTGGAAATTCCACGGGCCACACAACAGAGCAAATAAATTGTAGGGTTGGGTCGGGTTACTGGTTGTTTCTTAATCGTCCATCGTCATCCCTTAACGAAATGTTCACTGTTATATTTCACCAAAGATATATTTACGCGTTTGCATGTAGCTTTATTCCCACTAGCCTTTTTTCGTAGTTGTAAAATTTATCCAAGTTTATGGTCTGTTTTTCCTGACGGGCTACTACTGACTTTAACGACAAAAAGAAAACAATTCTGCTGGCTCACGAACTGGAGTTGCAACTGGCTTTCAGGAAATAGAGATATTTGTTGTGCCCTTTTTGTCAAATGTAATACCCATGGAACAAAATCTTCCAATTTTGCTGACGGCATTTTATACTTGCATACATTGCATTGAAAAAGTGACCATATTATTCCTTCTCACCCAAAACAGCAGAGTTATCACCAGTAGTTCCACTTATCCTGCACCTGACTTTGTATAGTTTTATGGAATTGTATACATGCAATTTGTATGGCCACTCCAGCCATCGGTTGTACATTGACAATAATGAGTTACATAAGGAGTAGGATGTCAGAGCTAGTAAATTCCTTCAATTTTGGGTTGACCATCATCGAGTTAGTTCTCATCCATACGTTCTTTCTTTTTCTGTTTCTCTCTCTCCTTCTGACTGGGCTGCTTGGTCGAACGCAATTCAAGATTGAAATGAGATCAAGTCTGCTGTAAGAAGAAAATGCCACAGCTGGATATTGAATTGGACTCGATATTGCGTACTTGACTGATCCGGCTTCACCCTCATTTCCTCCACAGAAGCATAGAATTTGTATTGAAGGGGATGCAATATTAAGGTTTTCTGAGCGAGAAGGAGTGGGTTGGAGGGAGTTACGTACATATAGAAGCAAAAACCAAAGAATGTGCTACATTAAATAAAATCCTGCCAGTTTTCAATTCTGATTTACTTCCAACAATTCCAGAACTAACCAAACCAACACACACCCATCCATCCATCCAGCTTGGACAAATAAACTCGAGTTTTTCCTCATCTTCTTCTAGCTAATGGAGGAAACATTGAGTGCATGTAAATATGCTGGGCATGCACATGAGATCCTTTTCATAGAAACTGCTACAATCATTATGTAACTGTAATCGATGAATAGCTAATGTACCTCAAATTGTCGTAAAGTTTGCAGGCGTATAAATTACTTGGAGCAATTTGTACTAAAAAAAGATGCATAGATAGTTACAAGTTTATAAATATGGTATTAGTTTTATTTCCGTTATCCGTATGATGACTCAAGTTGTTACATATGACATTACACAGTTGTCAATCAAATGCGGAAACGGACTTGAGTGATTCACCCCCCAAATTTAGTTATGATTTGGACGGGCGGATGGTACATTAATTCTCATCACACAGTAATTGATTGTGTCGTACATTAAACGCATTCTCACTGAATGCCCATAACTTGTGGATATTGCACAATGGAGTGATGGCTACGATACAAGGCGTGAAAAGCTTTGATCCATAGTGCAGAATTCCGTGTGCAGCTCAATTGTATTTTCATTGTGCATAGATGTCGAACCGATATTGCCCATTGTATCGTCCCATTATTCAATTGAAAGGACGGCTGAATATCTGATATCAAATTTCAATACTGCTCAACCCAACTAATATGCATACATCTGTGTACGTAGCGTATTTATTGAGGGTGCACGGACAAAAGTAGTATGCATACAAATACACCAACAAACTTTCCTTGCACTCATGAAGAGATTGATATCCCATCCTTGTTGTTAAAAACATTGCAATAAGAAATAGGATATGACAAATAGAGTGTATGCGACAGGTCAATGATGTTACTCTGATTATTTTTAGAATTTAAACTTTATTGACAAATGGGTGGAGGTTGAAATACGAGAATGAAATACTGTTGAGAGCAGCGTGTAGAGCAA